TCTGGATACACCATTGCACGCGCGTAAAAGTGATTAGCGGCTGGCTCCGTGGTGCAATTATTTCGTGTCAGCTGGATTGATACTTTTTTCTCTTTCTTTCTCTCTCTCTCTCTCTCTCTCTCTCTCTCTTTCTCTCTCTCTTTCTCTCTCTCTTTCTCTCTTTCTCCCTTTCTCTCTCCCCTTTTCCGGTCGATCGATCGATTGATTTTTGTAAATAGAACCGCCGAGTCGAACGAGGCCACCGAAATCGAATCGAACGGGTGTCCTGTTTCGGAACTAATTAAAAATCTCGCGGAAGGTGTTCATTAACATTCGTGATATTTCCGATCTTCGTATTCGAAGCTTTATAATTTCACGAGAATCCAGAAAAATGGAATAAATAGGGCGCGAATTTAAGTGTAGCTCAACTGCAAACTTTTAGGAATATAAGTTATCTTATTGGCATTATTCGTATTATTTAGAATGAATATATTTATTGAAAGTAATTATTCGAATGAATTCCTTTTGGTCGAATATTTTATTCGAGCAATCATTCTTTATTCGTAATAAATTGTTCTATTTATTTATCCGAATAATTTTTCATCTTTTATTCGATTAAATTATTCGAATAATGACGCGAATAATCGTTGACTGTTCTTATTTTTCCGTAATTTTGTAAGAATATAGCGGTTCAATTTTCACTACTCCGCTGACGATGATACCGAAGGAACGCATGTTTACTTCTCGACGACCCTTTACGGTGGAACATTTGAAAAAAGAAGTGGATCGCAATAATCAACGTCGGAGAAATTAATTACCAAAAAACCCCGTATCCTATAACTTGTACTTGAATCGATTATTTTCCGAATTCACATTCCTGTACAAATAAATATTTACGCGAATAACAAATAATCAGATGAATATTCGTTCGAATAAAATCCTCTTCGGAGAAATTGTCATCTCGATAAATTTTTGTTCGACTTTTGTTCGAATTTTTGTTCGTCCTACGATATCGAACAAAATTTTATTCGTTGATCCTTATCTCTTATCCGTGACTCGAATTGTTTGCCTAACTCTGTATTACAACTGCGTTCGCTGAAATCGGAAAACATAAATCATTGCCCGAGATCGATATTCATATAATTCATTGGGTGTCCATAACGGACACAGACAGGGTACGAACCGTAAAAATGTAAAACAAAAGGCAACACAGGGTATATGCTTACAGAATCCTTGCATTCTAGGAATTGGTCACCGATTTTTTCCGTGCCGCAGTCATCCGTAATAACGAAAGCGCCCGGCATTGCCTCGAGAGGGGCGGCAGGGGTGGTATTGAATGGTCGCCGTTTTGGCGATCACACCCGAATAATTCGGGAAACCCGCGTGTCCAGAAACAGTCGGGCAGGGACGCGATGACGTGAATGGCAGACCGGGCGTGTCCGCGGTAATCCAATGGGAGCGTCTCTTAATTAAAAATCGCGAAATCCGGACCGGCGTCCTGTCCCTTTGTTATGACTGGCATCCGTCGTTTCCCCGGAGCCGTGGAAAAGCGTACAGGCGTCTACGTTCTTTTTTTCATCCATAGCGTCGTTGAAAAACGATCGGGCGGAACAACCATTGCTCGCGTCCGCCATTATTCCGTTTACCTGCACGGTGTTGCGCGTAAGCCCGCGCGCACGCACATGCACTCGCGCCATTTCCCCCCTCCCCTCTTACTTTCCTTTCTTCTTTTTTCCCCGCCTGTCTATATTGTTCTGTTTTATTATCCGCCTTCTGTATTCCGCTTTTGTTTTTAGTACGCCGGACGCGCGCCATCCGAATTGATCGCTACGAATATTCCTTTCTGCGAGATCTTTTACACCGTCTACCCACGGTCTTCGGCGCTGCAACTTCTTTTCATACCGAAGGCGTACGGTCACGCTGAAAATTCAATTTTCTTTTCGTTACGATATTTATTTGTTCCTCGACGTCGGCTGTTCCGTTTCTTTTTAGAATTTCTCGAAAGGGGTGGGAACGACGAAGGCGGCGACAGATGCGGAGTAAAATGATCGCACAATTTCGGATCCTGGTACTGTAAATTCTCCCCAATTGTCACTCAATTTGTAAACAAGAATGGACAATTTGGGAAGAAGAGATACGATTATTCGATTCTTCAGGAAATTTCATATTTTATTTGAACTTATTTCTTATCCAGAGGCTTGGGTATTTTATTCATTTTATAGGATACTTATATAGAACGCTTTATTTATTATATAGGACGTTCAATTTATTTATATCCATTCAAAAGATATGTAACCCATGATTATGTTGTATTCGATCGTTATGGATTTCATGAAATGCAGAAACGACGAAACTGTATGCCCATATTTCAGAAACAGATCGCTTAAATGCAAGTATCACATGCTTTATTAAAAAGTGACAAACATTCAACGCCAATGTTTGCTCGATGCCTAAGTTTAGATTTCCGGATCTTCTTTTCACCAAAGAATATTTCTCAATATACCCATTTAATCGTAAACGAAATCCTAAATCATGTCTGCATCCCGTTAAAAACAACGTATCAGAATCTTTTTGGTAAGGATTTAAAGCCGAATTCAATAACGAAGTACGCACGTAAAATTATTACTCTCCGATTCTTGAAAGACAAACATTTGAACTCTGTCCATTATTGTATCGTTCTAGTACAAGATACAAGATACAGGCAAAGAAAAAGATGGGCTTGACTGAAGTATGTATTATCTTCATATTTCAGTTACGAATGAAAAAAGGAGAAGCTGTTTTGCAAGCATGGTTAGAGAATTCGAAAGACAATCGATCGAAAAGTTCGTGGTCTCTTACGCATTTATTATTAACCTCACTTTACGATGGTCTCATCTGGAGCCGTTCGCATGGTGGCCGGATGGTTGAGCCAGACTTCAAATCGGAGGAGTGGGGCTAGGTCACGTGACGCGCCGGAACTCGCGTAGAACGGAGTGGGGCGCGCAACGGGTATACATTATAATTCTGAACTATGAACGGACAGTCACTGCGCGTCACGTGACCTGTCCCCACTCCCTCGATTTGAAATCTGGCTTAATCTGCTGGCTACCATGGTCATCGGCGAGCGCCTACACATTTGCACATGGTTCGAACAATTCCATGGTACAACTACATGTACTTAAAACAGAACAAGCTCACTGTTGTGAAACTAATTACACCAATTGCTGGTGTCGCTGTTCACAAGTTGGTCCTCAGATCATCCTGAACTTCTCCACCTTCTGACGACATCAAGTACAGAGATTTCTACTAGTATCAGTCAATTAGTAAATTGCCTCCTAATCCGTGTAAACAAGTATCGATAAAGATAGCAAGTAACAAATTACACAAAAATTGCATTTGTTCACTCTGTCATTCGTTCCAATATAAATATCAGCCTTAATACTCCCCCACGACCATTCTCGAATGCTTCGCACTATTGAACGACTATTTAGCGACATCGAACGAACCAATACATTTACACCATTTCATTCGAAATTGTTGCATCGTCGACAAAACGATCCTCGAATTTTGAGGCTTTTCTCGTACGATACTCCGCTTCTACAACGCTGTAACATACGATTGCCAGATGCGATCGAGTTGAAACTCGCAACACGTCTAGATTACTTCTGTAGCAATGTAGCTATCAAACAGCGACAAGATATCTCGATCGAAACAGGGATGCCCCGTCCTTATTGAGCGATCCTCCTAAAACGTGTCGGAGCGTCTTGGAGCTATTCGTTTTTTCCAAGGCCTAGTTGCCGATGGAAAAATTGGCAATAACACTCGACAGAAGGCGTGTAAAACGAGCGGTACACCGTCCTGGATAGAGAGCACCGGCACAGGTGCGCGAGCCTCGATGCCGCATACCCGTTTAAAGCGTTCATTGTTCAGGTTTTCGCGCTTGTGTCGCAGCGGAGCGACGCGGCGCGAGATTAACGCGCGCTCAAATTTTATGGCCCGATCCTTTCACGAATATTACGATGGTCGATAACGTGAAAGCGAATGGAATTTTCGTGAAAAAGGAAAGCTGAATGCGGGCTATGGTCTGTTTGGAAGATAACGCGGCTCAACGCTCGGCCGAAATTCATTTGCCGGTTTTGTTTGCCGTCACCGGTCTTTAGTTGATTAAAAATGATTCGGAATGTCAGATAGTGAGCCGGTAATATTGATATCGCGGCATCAATTTTTTTTCTCCAATCAAGGGACCGAACACAATAGCGGACCACGCATGTCCACGCGAAATGAAGTCCTCGTGGGGTAGTGGAAACAGTTACTGTGCCTTTAGTTTAGTTTCAAGCGTGATTAACTTTATATTCATCGAGCAAGACACGTTAAATTTTTTTTGTTTGGATTCAACCGATTACTCGTTTGTTAACATTAAACACGTGGAAGACGGAAGTTCTTAAAATACCATAAAAATTATCTGAATTTTTTGACATTGAATTTTCCGAAATTTTCCGCAGAGCTTGTGAAATACTGAACGAATGAAGAACAATATCCAGTAAAATAAATCGTTCTGGTATCAATATTACGGAAAAACAAAACAGTGATTATTTATTTGAATTTTTCTTTTTACCTTTTACTTGCGAACTTATGAATAACTTATCATGTTAGATTTTCTCATAGAAAATAAAATTGAGTAAAGCAGGCGAAATATTAAATTTTCATTGTGCGCAGTCATCGAAGATACAGATCTCTGTATATCATGGATCTCATCACCCCAGAATGTTTTCTTCTTTCTCCTAATATTGAAAGAACATTTAACAGTTGTTCCACGGAAAAATTTACGTGGATAAAAGAAACTTTGAAATTTACGTTTAAGTTTGTCAGAAATGTCAATAGAATCGCTAAAGTTGTTTTTAGGTATAAAGTTCTCATCGTAAAGCAAAGCTGTTTTAATTACGAACCAATAATAATTCCGAACGATTTCTAAACAATTAGTCGGCATGTTATTGTATTATTACAGTTCGATTAATGGTGCCATTATTATTTATATTTTGCAGAGTGCCACGTCGCCCGGCGCCAGCAACGATGGCCTCACGAAACAACAACTGGAGCTCATCCAGCAGATCATGCAGCAGACTCAACAACAACAACAGCAGCAGCAACAACAAACATCCGCGCAGCAGCAACAGCAACAGCAACGCACCACCACGTCGGCAACAGTCTCGACACAAATTCAAAAACCGCAGAAACCGTCCGTCAAGCCAACAATATCGTCCAGCAGCGTCTCCAGCAATTCTGGGAGCACGAGTGCGACCAACACCGCCAGATCCAGCCCGAAACCAAAAGTCTGGAGTCACGTTCAAGTGAGTAATAGTTCATCGTTCATTCTTTTGCATACAATTATGCTGTAGACATTTATTCTCGTAGTTCATTTTCTGTTCGTACAAATCGGGTCAATGAATGCATGTGTATGCATTGTATGTACAGTGGCTCACGAAAGTATTCAAACACGTACAAAATTTTGTTTCAATTTTACTATCACTTGGAATGAAAAAAGAAAATACGAAACTCGACTCACGTCTTATGAACTTTTTATGCGAATCGATCTCGAATAGATCTCGGTAATTTATATGCAAGCTGAAAATTTCATCGAAATCGTTTGCGGCTTCGTTTCGGGGTAGTTTATATTTAGAGTTAATTGTTTTGGATAAAATAGAGAACTGATATATCTCCGAACATAATAAAATATAATATTTATTGTACACGCGATTATACAGGGTGTCCCAAAAATGTCTCGTAATCCGGAAATGGCGGGTTCCTCGGATCATTTCAAGCAACTTCTTCCTTTACAAAAATTTTCTCCGAGGCACCGTTAACGAGTTATTAACGATAAACAGTGACCAATAAGAATTGAGTACGGCTGACGCGAGGCGGCCCAGTCACCCATCGCACGAAGCCCAGTTCCGCTCATTGGCTCGGTCGCCTCGCGCCAGCTGAGCTGGGATTCGACCGCTCGACCGCTGGCGCCGTTGGCTCGGCCGCCTCGCGCCAGCTGAGTTGGCATTCGACCGCTCGACCGCTGGCGCCGTTGGCTCGGCCACCTCGCGGCAGCTGATCTCGCCTCTTATTGATCACTGTTTTTCGTTAATAACTCATTAACGGTGCCTCGGAGAAAATTTTTGTAAAAGAAGAAGTTGCTTCGAATGACCCGAGGAACCCGCCACTTTCGGATTGCGAGACATTTTTGGGACACCCTGTA